GTTTTCAATTGAAGTGACAAAAAAAAAAAAAGGGAGTTGGCAGCACTGACTGTCAATCACGGTGTCCTTCCCGCCCACTTCCGSCAGGCTTCAGAGTCACAACACTCTTTGGTTGTTTCTGTGAACCGGCGTTGAGTTGACATTAATTCACAGGTATTTGTAATGTAATTGTGTGTAGTTGACGTTGTCGGTGTGCGCGTTTGCCTGTCAGAGAGTGTGTTTGTGTTACTTGTTCATCTTTGCTCCKGTTGACGGGTTAGCTGAACAGCAGCGATGCTAACAGCTAGTTAGCTTGTCAGACACTGAGACTTTCAGAGGAGCAGCGGGCTGACAGAGCGCCATGAAGTTGTTGTTTCAGTCATAACACGACATGGTGATGTTTGGATTTATCGAGCATAAGAAGCTGTCTCTGCTTCCTGTAACTAGTTTTTGTTGTAGCAGGTCGAGTGTTTAGCTGTGATGCTTGGAGAGAGGGCTGGGCTGCAGAGAGACGGGGGCCGATGCTGCTGCTGGAAACATGACTGCTGCTGCTGCTGAGTGACATTTAGTTACCTTTTCTGCTCAGTATGAACAGCGAGGAGGAGTTTTACGACGCTGAGACAGGTGAGAGACGAACATATTGCATTGCTTCACGTGTCTGTGAGTTATGAACATGTTCATGTTGTTTCATCCACCAGGGCTGGAGTCGGATGATTCCTGTGAGGTCAGTTTCAAAGATGCCCTGGTGTTTGACAACAAGCAGGGCACCGATGGCAGCTCACACGAGAATGGAGAAGTGTGGGAGCGCAGGTGAGTGATCTGGCACAGCTCTTCTAAGAAACAAACTCCTTTTAATAACTTGTAACCAAAAACACAAATAAATGGGTTTTYGGCTGTCTACAGATCGCTCCTTCTGTAGATGGCTGACATTTTCAGGGACTCAACTCATGTAAACATGGTTGGGAAATTGGGACAAGTTCATAATCAGCAATTTGTTCATATATATCTGAAAAAAGTATTACTTCAGCGGCCATTACATTGATCAACCTCCTCCAGACTTGAAGGCCAGGTTTGTGCAGAAATTGGATATTTGGTGTTTGAAAACAACATGTCCAYACATTACCAGCAACAGTATGGAAACACATCAGTCATCATGATCAGAGGTAGAGCGTAGCTGTATTTATTACTACCTAACTGAAGCACCAGATTTGATAAATTCATGTTTAAAATTAAAGAAACATTTGTAAAAGTATTTGATTACAGGCTAGCTATTATAACAAAACCGTAAGAAATGGTTCTAAAAGATAGTACACTCATCAAAAGGAAAAAATAAGTAGGTCCTCTGGATGGGTTYTTCTGTAGTAAAATGTTTCGTCTCTCCTCCAAGAGACTTCTTCAGTCTGAGTTTCATATGAACTCAGCCTTATGAGCACTGCCTCCACATGGACAAACAGGTTAGTCACATGGAAAAAAGGGCCATTGCCYAACAATAGGCTTGATTAGCTCTATTGTTCATAGAGGGTCATGTGCCCCATCAGCTGACTTAAGCTTTGTTTATATTTCTTGCAAGACGTGCGGCTGCGGCCCAGCGATGACATAATAGCGTGTGTGTCACCGACAGCAGTGAGTGTTTATACTGGGAAAAGACATGGGGGATACATTATAGTAATCCCTCCCACCGCAGACGTCACACGCATAGCTTAGCATGTAATGCTAGTTGCTAGTTTAGCTTGTTGGTCCAACAGATGCGGGAGATGGATGATGAAAAACACTTCTCCTATTTTCAAATGTCCGCTGCTCGTTTTGACGAACTTGCCCACCGGATCTTTCTAAAAATTTTTCCCCACTGGATCTCCCCTCACCTTCAGCACGCACCGACGCGGTAGAGGAGTCACAGATGGTTGTACCTCCAGACCGCCTCGGTGAGTTTCTCTTCGAAACTATCCTTGTTTAGAAACAAAAACGCCCACAAACTTTGAAACAAACACACGCTCYGAGCCGCATCCTYCACGTCTCGGAGTGCTGACTGGGGGCAATGTATAGGACAGCTGTCACCGGGGGATCGCAGCGGGAGTGCAGACGGAAGTTGCACAACTTTTTTTCCACTCAGCGGGGGGTAAATGACATGCGACAAGAAGTATAAACCAGCCTTTATTGGTTTGGATGCTTCGGCTGTGGTTCTTTGGTGTCGTGTTATGTGTATGTGGTGAGTTCAAGCGGGGCTCAACATCCCCTTGTTTTTGTATTTCTTTCCCTCTATAGAAGCCAAAGAGGAACACATCTGACAAGAATTAACAAAACACCTAGATCAGAGCAGGTTTAGCTCAGCATATCAAGTCCAAGACCCGACAACAAAAGAAGTTCTCTTTACTGGTAACTCGAGGAGGGGAAGAGATACWAAAACAAGGGGACGTCAGGAAATCAYGTATCTGTGACGTGAGTGTAGACAGATTTATTGGATTTGTAAAGGTAAAGTTGTGAATTTGTGTTATAAATCAGAAGGTGATTATTATATGAAGTAGTGAACAGTTTTTATGTCTCATAAAAAATAACAAAATAAAAATGAACTAAGATGGAAAATCTGTGCTTGTAAGTAGATTCAGGATGCCTGACAGGACAGATGAGCTGTGACCATTAGGTAAACAAATGTTTTATTCTGAATTATTATTAGGCTAGAAAGAAAAAAACACTGGGGAWCAAAATGGGAAAGGAGGATGTTTGACCTTTTCAGGTTTAGAATAGATATTAATGAAAATCCAAACTTGTTAAATGTCTCTAGGAGAGCTTCCCTCAGGACAGAATGAATTTCCTATCATTTGATAGATCTTTATAACAGTTTTTACACAAACAAAGAACAGAGTTGTCTAGGGCTGCAACAACGAATGGATAAAGTCGATAAAAATCGATTATTAAAAGCGTTGGCAACGAATTTCATTATTGATTCGTTGTGTCGCGCGATTTATGCGTCCCTTGCCGTATCGCGGAGCCATTTACGTCACCCGCAGAGCGTTGTCAATGCTGGCTGAGCTAAATAAAGTTTAGAAAGAAAGAAAAACTCTACCTGTAAAGATGCGCCCAATCTGAGACT